GGATCCCCAGTTGGGATCCCCAGTTAGGATCCCCAGTTAGGATCCCCAGTTGGGATCCCCAGTCCCCTTCACAGTTCCCTGTGCCATCTTGAAAGGTAACCGTGCCCTTGCATCGAAGCGAGACGAACGGTGAGCTTGCAATAGAGATCTGTGAATAATTGTCCAAGGTATTAAAAAAGGTCTCTACGACGTTCTTGCTAGTCCCGCAAACCTTAAACTGTTGTTTGACGTCAGGCTTTTTCCTTCAAACTTTCGACATTTAGCAAGGTGTCATAACAAAGTTGTTGCCTGAAGAGCCGCCATATTGAATTTCATTTCAATTTCATTGCCGAGTGTTTCTCCGTGTTTGAGGGCGCTTTTCGGGTCCTGCTGATTCCTAGCGGTTATCGGTAAGCTCGTTGCCAAACGTCTCTAATGTTTGGAAATTTGTTTGCTAAAAATCTTTCTGTAGGGGTGTCGTTAGCATTGACATTGAGTTAATGGACATTGATATCAACCAGTGCGATGSMAGTCAGACAGACGAAGACAGAAGGTCACGCATGGATCAAGTAGCAGGGGGTGGCAACTCTGAAAGGCTCGTGGAATTTCTTGGGACACATCGTTGCAAGTCAACCACAACCAAGGTAGGTCAGTGACAAAAGGGATGCTCAGAGCTTGACTGAGTTGGACTGGTTAGAGGCCTGAAGCCCTCAAGCAATCTCTGGTTGCTTCAAACCCTGAAACAACCTCTGGGCTGATCTAAGGCAGGGCATGGCTAACTCACAGATCGAACCCTGAAACAACCTCTGGGCTGATCTACGCCAGGGCACGGCTAACTGACAGATCAAACCCTGAAACAACCTCTGGGSTGATCTACGTCAGGGCACGGCTAACTCACAGATTGAGCCCTGAAACAACCTCTGGGCTGATCTAAGTCAGGGCATGGCTAACTCACAGATAGAACCCTGAAACAACCTCTGGACTGATCTAAGTCAGGGCACGGCTAACTCACAGAGTGAACCCTGAACTAACCTCTGGGCGGATCAAAGTCAGGGCACGGCTAACTCACAGAGTGAACCCTGAAATAACGTCTGGGCTGATCTAAGTCAGAGCATGGCTAACTCACAGATTGAACCCTTAAAAAACCTCTGGGCTGATCAAAGTCAGGACACGACTACAACTCAAGGATTTGAATAAACTTTCGCGTGTTAGGTTTTGTGGAGTAAGGAAAACCAAGAACCTTACTGGAAAAAAAGTTTATCAAATGGGAGAGACCTAAGAGCAGAGGTGGGAGGCGAGTGAACCACCGCTACGCTTCCCTTGATTCCCAAAATT